GTTATCATAGATTTTAGAGGCTTGTCAATTTAGCTGATTGAAGGCTTGCTACCATTCTTTGCATTTTCTCAATACAATCCCAGAATTAATCAAAATATACAGATGGCAAATGTTGTATATGTAATTAAGAGGTTGGAAGCTTGGAAGTCTTACTGTTTTACTCAGGTAATTGGCGTGTTTTGCCGAGCACCCACTGATGTCTATATTCAAATTTTGTCGTAATGGTGAGTGTTAATACTGACCAGGTTGACTGCCAATTAGTCTTCAGGCATTTTTCTTTGAATGCAGGTATTGGCAGATGATGATTTTTTATTTATTTTTTAATCGTACAGATTGATCAAATCCGTTGTTGACTAACTTGTTGTCTCAGTAGCAATGAGAGAGGTTTGCTGTATAGGAACAATGTTCTGTGCAGCTGAGTGACAATTTTTGTATGTTTCCAGAAAACCCACCATGGTGATGCATAGTACAATGTGCATGAAGGATGGCAATTGCAGTGTGCAAGTCCCTGTAGCAGTAACTGTAGCAGTTGTAGTTAATGGCTCCTACAGGGGTTTCAGGTTAAAAGAGATGAGAAGTGCTTTTAGGCACCTGAGAGGTGACAAGCTTCAGAGGTAATTCCGACATGATAGAGGAACACTATCTACATCTGTGCATATATGAAACTGATTATACATTTAAACATTGTCAAATGAGAGGCCTTTGAGTGCATTAATGGACATTTTACATATTTAGTTGTCAAGACCACTCAATGCTAATCGATCATGACAATAATTGTGTTCATGTTGACTTTTTGATGAGTGAAAACATCTGAATCATATATTTTATTTAGAGAATTTTTAATGGTTTGAATCTTTTTCTCTATTAATAAACATATTCTAATTGCTTATTTAATCACGATCTGTGATGCTGCCAATAGGCAGGTCTCAGAGCAGCAGACTAAATCAATCACTGTGTGCTGGGAAGAAAAACTTAATTGCTCTGTGATTTTCTCATGCCACATTCTTTTAAAGCAATTATTTATTTGTGAATCTTATGACACCTCACTGTAGTTTAATGGTCACCATAAGTGTATCAACTCTTGCCTCCCACTCACATTACTTGACCTTAAATAAAACCTGAATGCAATCTGAATTTTTCTTTTTCTGGTCCGCATGCAAAACTTTTAGCAATTGTTTAAGTTGTCCACTGAAGAACAATCTAAATGCCATACAAATTCCAATTACAATGTATAACATCCATGTGGATAGCGAACCAATGCTGTGTCGTCTTCCTAGTACAAAGCCAATTTATTGTGGTCACCGTGGATAGAGCCTGGCTCCCTTAGCAAACAGTGAAAAAAAAAAAAACTACAATGGCACTAAGTAGAGTGCCCATGTCTTCTTCCATGGTGATCACATTTGCTATAATTTAATAAAGTTATTTTTCTTCCACATACCTTGTTGTATCCCCCCTACATGATTTACATATCTTCTCTGACATTGTCAACAAAATTGTCAGGAGTGATTTTTGGCATTTTTTTGCAACGAATTAGCTAATCAACTTGAAAGTTGGTGTGTACAAGTGCAGCATAATAGTATTTGGGAGGATGCACATCCACACTCTGGTATCCTCTTTATTTTTAAAGGAGGCAGGCTGGTCGGGGTCATTGTTTGCACGTTTAGTCATCTTATTCCAGCTAAACCTCCTGACAATTTATACTTCCTGGTAACAATGAGCTCATCCTGAAAAATGTTATAATGTGTTTGCTGTTAGTTGTGCTTACATCCAGTTTCACAAATATTGAGTCCTAGTCGTTAATATAGAGAGTTTTCTTTCAGTGTGTTATTGTTCCACAGGGATTTGTCAGGCAAAATGGAAGCAGTGAGAAAAACACACAGAACCTTAATCAGAGCAATGTCCTCCTACCCTTCACTAAATCATTGGTGGGACCCAACAGTCACACTGTGGCTGATGGTACAGCTTGGCCTCTGTGAGACCAATGAATGTATAAAGACTTTTTGACCACATCATAAACTAAGAAATTATTATTGTAATGTTTATGTTTAGCGCACAGTTCAATTGCATGGGAATATACCCTCAATATATTAGAAACACCATAATGGGTAGGGCCTCTATTTCAGTCTCTGTTGTTTTCAGTCTTTATTTTTTTGTTATACAAAGTACAGATGGTAACAAACTGCATTTCATGGACATTTTGCAAATTTGCAGCATTTCATGTAAGAAATGTAGATTCCAAATGTTCATTGGAGTTGTTGTCCTCATTGCAGTTTTATTTATAGGTTTGTATTCCTTTGTTTTTGTGCAGAATTATCCACAGAGCTCTCATCCTCTCCCAAAAAAAAGACCAAAAAATCACAGCTGGTAAAAATACAGAATAAAGCAGTTTTTTCTTGAAAATGCATGTTTCTCCATTGCTCTTTGATGATGTTAGTGACTCTCAGCCAAGGTGCTGACATTTTTAGCTTCTTTAGTGTCTATGCTAGGATTTTTTAGATGGAGCCAAATTATCAGCAGAGGTCTCCTCCTCTTTAAAACAAACACAACAGGTATTCAAATCCACTAATAACTCTGAATGAAGCTGCTTTCTCTTGACTAGACACAGGGCATTAAGAGGGGATCTTGAGGGGCTGTTTGCTCAGCATGTTTCTCTTGGAGCTTCCAGATGAGATTCAGGCATCCAGTTGTTGAAATCCTTCCTCCTCTTAAAGGTTAAAGTCATAAAAACATTTAGAAAAAGTGACGATTACATGACTTGAAAGGGTAAAAAATAAGACAGCTGGAAATGTTTTAATATCTGACCATTTAGCTGACAGCGACAACTGTGATTACATGTTATGTCGCTATATTGTGGCCTGCCATTATGAGATACAAATGTGTGTTATCAGTACGGCAAACCTCACCACGAAAAAGAAACTACTTTATCTGATTTTGTTTGTTTACCTCTCCTCAGTCTTCTAACACCCCCTCATTCTTTTTTTTTTTTTTTTTTTTTTTCAGAGAATGATGAGACAGGTGTGATGGATAGTTTGCTGGAAGCCCTACAGTCAGGAGCTGCATTCAGAGACCGCAGGAAGAGAGCACCAAGACCCAGAGGTGAGTCTCATATCCTTTACCTAAACTTTTATACCTGGACAAAGACAGATACATAACAGCTACTCCAGGAAAAACTATGGACAAGGTTCCAATGTCAGTCAGATGTTCAAAAATCAATATGAAAGCTGCTCCCAACCTGCTAACATAATGCATTTTTGTCTTTGTTTTAAGGCAGAGTCAACCCAATGCATTCTTGGGATTTTATTCCTCAGCTCTAATATTTGACAAAGTAGTATATTTGACTAAGGGACATAGTGTCACTTAGTCAAATATACTAGTTTGTTGTTTGTACACATGCTTGCTAGAAGCACAGTGCCAGAGAATCCAGATCCTACAACTGTTTGATGATTGGATCTCAGTTGAAGGAAGTACGGATTCTTTTGGTCCTGGCAGTCTTAAATCTAAATCAAGGAAGTGTAAGAACAAATGCTTGCTGTGAATCCTAGATGGGATCTATAAATGTAGTGAAAGGATTGCCCATTAAACTTTAGTGGCAATTGACAGCTTTGCCTTTGCACAGTATTTCTTGTTCATGAACCTTGCAGCCTTCTTTCAGCCAGTGAATGTCTCATTATCTACTTGATCCCTCTTAGTACCGTACATGTTGGCATTATTTGTTCACTGCCCTCCTTACAGAAAACCAGCATCAGACGATCAGCCCCAGCTCCTTCCGCCAGGTTCTCAGGCCTGTTAATCATGGTAAAGCAAAAAAAAAGAAAATATAAAAACCTTCTCGGCTAAAGCCTCAAGCATGCTCAGCTCCGTCTACTGCTTGCTGTTGGAAATCCACCTTTAACATCTCTTGCATGTGATGCAAATTCCTCTCTGCAGTTCATATGTCCTGGTTTGTGTGTGTGTGTTCAATGACCTTTTCAGTTGTCCCTTTACCTTTTTTTTTTTTTTTTACCTTGTCTCTTGCCTTGCCTTGTGCCTTCTGAAAGTGTGAAAGGCCTTTGCTGAAACAGTTTGAGGCAGTGCCATGAGCCGCCTCTAAGAGTGAGGCAGAGTCAAGATTCTTTGAAAGCAGTGTGTGGGCTGTTCTGCCGGCTCAGTTTGATATGGCTCCTTAAATTGTTTAGTAACTGCAGCATTTTGAGTTCAAACCCATTGTATGCTTTTGAATGTTGTTGTGCTCTTTAACATTTTTTAACCTCATAAGAAGGAAGGTGAGTGCCTAAGGATTTTGTGAGGAAAATAATGTGTTTTACTCTTGAATCTCTGATCTACAATTTTATACTGGATTTATTTGAAGTACATTGAGTATTTGTGCACCAAGATCAAGCTTGCAGACTAAATACATGGTAGAAATGTGATATAAGCCACTTGTAGCTTAGAGCGCCTAAGGAGTCTAGTGTCATTTAGAAGCACCAACGGTATGTGTCTAACTGTGTGACTTCCAAGGAGTGAAGATTGGATGGGATACTAATCATACCAAATTAAATAGTCTTGTATTATTCATAGTTGCAAACACATATTAAACTTTTAGCTTTTGCTAAGAATAAACAATCACTTTTTTCTCTTGTCAAAAGGTTTTCTACAATCATTACTGAGGCACTTAAAAAAAATTATGCTGTAACCATATTACCTCTTATTACTTGTAATTGGAATCCCAGTGGGCTGGGTACAGGCACACATGAATACAATTATTCGCGCTCAATCCACCCACATCATTGATGGCAATGATAAAGGGCCTTACTCTGTTGTTCTGCTACGACTTATCTGAAATTAGATTGGAAAGGGACGAGGGGGAGGGAGATATACAGGGTGGGAGGAAAGAGACAGATAGAGGTGGCTGTAACATAAGAAATGGAGAGAAATGGTGTGAGGAAGAAAGATAGAGCCAGTTGGTAACGGTAACAGAAGGAATAATGTGTTTTGTTTGTGTCTGTGAGATAAAGTGTGTATGAGAGGCAGTCACCAAGAATAAGAGAGAACAAATGTTACATTAACAGGGAATTAGTGGAAAAATGAAAACATACCTCTGAGTGTTCATGTTGTGAAAAGACTTCACAGTGGGTTGTACAGGTAAGAAGGTCCTCAAAGGCCGCCAGCCAATCGTCCCCCTGCTGGCAGCTTTAGACATGGCCTTGTTGACTAATAGCGCTCAAGGCTTTAGCCTGTCACTGCAGGCATCATACTCACTGCCAGCCTCCCAGAGCAAACACAGCTAATTACTTTCCTCTGCCCAGCCCCAGCTCAGCCCTCTCAGTGCCCATTCATCTTAATTTCCCCCTCTCTGCCATCTGCCTCCTAAATAACACTCCTCCTCATTTCCCTACCATCCCATATCCCCGCTGTCTTCTTCTATACTCTCTTGGACTGACAATGGGCCTCCCCAAACATAATTGCCTTTTATTGGTATGGAGTTTCTCTACCTCTCCTGTCTCACTTCTCTGCTCCTGTTTCCCTTCCTTCTTACTCTCACGAGGAAATCCGGGCCTTAATTGCCCTGGGTTTAGTCGCTGGAGTCAGGGAAGCCCACAGGGTGCTCTCAGTTTAGTTGAGAGGTGATGACGTTGGGTCGGCAGCACAAGCACTTAAACAGCTGCTTTCACTTTCACACTGCCCTACCACCTCCTTTTCCCACTGTTTTAAATACCCTTTAATAATTGATCTCAAGGGTGTCGATACACTTCAGTGGAGCAGCAAAGAGAGTTATAACGGAAACATCTGCACCAGAAGATACTGTAATTAGTAGTGAAGGGGAGACCTTTGAATGGCCAATCTGAACATGCATGGTGCCATCAAGCTTTTGCACTGAGAGAGACTGAAGTGCACGAGTCTGTTGTCTGCAGATACAAATTAGATGGCTGATAGATGTGCTCTCCATCACAAGACTATGATTAGACTTTGGAGTAGTTCGATTATGGCTACAGTGCTTCGTAGTCATGATGAGTGGGATTGCCTCACAATAGAAAATTGGGAATAAAAAAAATTCCTTGCTGTCTACTCCCCATTTTACTGCAGATCAAGGTGCAAGCACTGTTCCTTCCCTTCTTTTCTTTACACCCACTCTTCCTCCCTGCTCTCTTCTTTGCTTGTAGTCAAGGTCCTGAGTTTCCTTAGCTTTCTCTGTCTCTCATCTCGTCTCTTCTCTCCTCCCCTACCCCTAAATTGCCTCAGCACACTTTAACTTGAGCCAGCAGCTAAGGTGTTTAGCTTGGTCTGCAGTCTCTCTCAGCACACACATACACGTACACATAAAGTGCACAGACACACCCGCAGACTTCTGGGGGATGAAGGTAAGCAGGCTTTGTGGGGGCTGTGGTCTGGGTTAGGATAAGGCTGAGGGGCTCTGGGGCTCCTCGACACTCTAAATTGGATTGGGCTCCACAGAATGATGGATCGATGGTGGTTAGCCACACAGGTGTAAGAGACTTATTGAATCTATAAAGCAGCCATGGCTTTTTAACTGTGTCCATCTGAAAACATCTCTCCAGGCTCTGTCTTGTCATTTCGGACTTCTTTGCAAGCCCTCAACACAGCCTTGCTGACTCCCAAGCTGGCGTGTGCACGTACATGTTGAGAGGATCAAATAACCACTGTTTCTTTATTTCCTTTTTTATATATCATTGTGTGTGTGTGTGTGTGTGTGCGTGTGTGTGTGTGTGTGTGTGTGTGTGTGTGTGTGTGTGTGTGTTAATGCCTGGAATGATCCATTATGGGGAGAGTGGGAGGAACAGGAGCTGTGAATGTCTAAGTAAATGTCTCTGTCTTTAGGAGCAATTACTTGAGATGTCTTTAGTGACACTTGGCCTAACAATTATCACATTTGATATACTTTAGCTCTGAACTAGAGCTTGAAATTGATGTAAAGGTCATTTCAAAAGTCAGTGAACCCCTTTACCAAATGAAAACAGGAGCTGATTTTCCCTACTGGCACTCAAGAGCATAAAGGTTTCCATCAAGGTCTCAAGTGCTATGCGTTTGCAGAGTGGCTTTTTTTCTGTTTGTGTGTATGTTCATGTATATAACGTGAAAACCTTTGTGCTCATAAGCACCTTTTCAGTGCAGACTTCAAATGGCTTGGGTATATTTTCAAATGGTACTCTGAGATAACTTAAAGGAATAGACTGCATATTAAAATGGACGTAGACTCAGTGGCCAGAAAGTGAAGCCAATGTAGAAATGCCTGAAACCTATACAGTATTCTCTTGAATGGAAGACCAGCAGAGAGGGAGTCCAATGGTTGCAAAAAGAGAAGTCCATTTCTGAGTTAGAGAAAATGACCCTACTTCTTACAGCATGATATTCAATTTGTAAATTATGGTCCTATATGGCGTGGATACTGTGTGATTGAAAGCTAGTACTATCCAATGGTTGCAGGTGTGGGTGCGTCTGCAGCATACTTTAATTCATGCTTGGTACTTCTGGTTGCAAAAAAACAAGATGGTGCTTCAGAAAGGGTGATATCACAGTGGGTTGCCACTTTTTAATTGATTTAACTTGATACTCAACATATGTCTTTAAAAACTGTGCTGCAGAAAATTATTAGGAAACAAACTGGAGAGATTGTGAAGTTGAAATGAAAGTCAAATAACTTACAAAAAGAAAAAATTGCTCCCAACTATGTGTCTTGTCTGCTCACATGTGAGACACTGGTGAAATAGCTTCCTGAGGCTGGGATATACTCTGGTGGAATCTGCTCTTAGATGCTTGCCTTTTTGATTGGGCGTCTTACAGACTGTGATATGTGGATTCTACTGCAGGCTACTGTATCCTGCAGATTGTGTGTGTGCTTTTTCGCTCCTCTTTCACATACGTATCTGTCTCTTCATATCAATGTCCATTATGTGAGAAGCTTCCCATGCTCCCAGAGTTCCTCAATGTACTCTTTACTTTTTGACTTTGTTTAGTCTCTGCTTTCTCCTCCCTGGCTTTGCTGCGTTCCCTCAGACTTGACATAAGAAGAAAAACAAGGGGTTATTAAATCATTTCAGTGAGCTGGAGACAAAAAGGAGCACCGACACACTCCTCCCTGGGTCCATTTGAATTGATGCTACACGTCATTGTTGTAAAAGTATACCTGTAGAAGTTGCTGATTTATCTGAATTTGATCATAATATATCATCCGCACATCACATACAGCTCGTGTGCTTTTCATTAAAGTGACAGATCATTGCTTCCACTCTTGCACACAGTGTTCCCTCTCCCACTTTCACACATACATGCTCATGAATACATGCATGGAAATCATCAGGTTGAACCCTGCGTTTTAATGATGTGTGGGCAGGAGGTTAAAGGCCACTGCTGGGGTGGGGCATTAGTTGTGTCTGTGACTCGGACAGGTGTACTGCTTCCTGTATTCATGTCTACAATCATCAGGCCACTTGAAGTCACAGGGTCTCTCCTATCACCACAGTTGATGGTTGGTTTGGATGTTTAAATGCTCTTGTAGACAAAGGCATATCCAGATTGGAAAGTGCACCTTGACCTGTCTTTGTCACTCTGTCTGAAGTCCTGCACTGGTTGTGTGTGCGCCCGCATGTTTGAGCCTATGTGCACGTGCATGGAACAGATGGAGCAAGAGGGCACCTTAACTAAGTGGCTAGTGTAATTAGGTCCGTTCTGTGCAGCGAGACTTCTGGAATAGTAATTGAGAATTGTAGAGAGCTGTATGGGGAAGACTTTTTTTTAACCTTTATTCCATTTTTGCTGAAAAGTCTGCTCTCTTGCTCTTTTTGCATGCTCACACAGTC